AGAGCGCCCGCGGGGCCACAGCACTCGTGCTGCCTGGGCCATGTTCTCTCTACCGGCGCCGCGGGCGGGCGCGCGAGACCAAGACCGCCGGGCTTAGACTTCCCTTAAAGGGCCGGGTGTCTGGTGAACGGCAGGTTGCCGGGGCAACAGTGACGCCGAGCGAGAGGCACAGAGAGGCACAGCCGTTGCAGGTTGGGCCCAGCTTTCATACTCTTCGCAGAGCCGCAGAAACACCTCCGGGGGTGTCTGCGAGTCGCTAAGTGCCCCGGCTCCTCAATACGTAGATGAAATGGTTCTCGGTGGTGACCCGGGCGCCAGCCTCTGCTCGGCCACACAGCTCCCGGGGTGGCCTCTGAGTCCCAACATTGGCCGTAACATGTGGTTAGTCATTTCTGCCTCATGCACCCAATCGAAAGAGACTGAACCCTTCGGAGCGTCAGGGAGTCACGGCTTCGGGTCCTTGAGGGCCGCGAAACCACCAGATCGACTAACAGCAGGAGGGCGCCAGAGACTCAGCTCTTTCTGCCCTCCCGCGCCGCTGCACCGCGTCTCCTACGGCTTGAACCATAAAATCTTCCCTACATATTGGGGACCTTTAGGAAACCAGGTGTCTAAGATTGCGCCCACGCAGAGGCGCCGGCTCTCCCACCCGCAAGTCCCCAGAGGTTGGATGGGGCAGATGGGGGAGGAATGAGGGTCCCAGTCTGCACCTACCCTCTGCCGGGATGGCTCGCCCTGGTTGGGGGCCCCAGATTCCGCCATCCAGGCTTCTCCGCGGGCAGACCCGAGTTGGCCCCGCCTTGCGGCCAAGGTCTGCGGGGAGGACTGGTTACGGGTGAGAAGGGGCGGGGTCTGGTGGCGGGGACAGCAAGGACCTCTGCTCGCGGTGCGGGCCCGAGAGCCTGGCTGGTACCAGGCTGGACGGGGCCGGGGTGCTGGAAGGGGGCGTGGTGGCTTCCCCCGCTTTACTTCGCCAGGTCCCACAGTTTCAGCTTCCACCAGGGCTCTCGGTCCGCACGAGGTCGCCGCGTTCCATCATCGCGCGGTCCTGGAAGAGCCTGAGCCCGCCACGTCGGGCCCCCTAGGGGACCTGGGCTTGCCGGTGACTCAGGGGGACTGCAGGAACGACCTGTCGCTTTCTCCGGGCACCTTCCTGGGAAGAGGAGTCGGGGCGGGATAGGGGTTTGTGAGGGACCGCGGAGCCCTCCCACCCCTCGCTCCTGGGTGGGTTGTGGCTGCAGACTCCCGTCTCGGTGAGCTCTTGCGAGTGGGTCTCTGGAAGCCTCACACCGAGAACTGTTACAGAAGCGGGGGGAACGGGCGCCGCTTGCGCACACCTGTCACCTGGCTCAGCGCCGTGGGACCACACCCCGCAGCCAGGCGGTCCAGGTCATCACCAGCAGTGATCAGTCCCGTGGGTAGCGTCTTCCCCTGATGTGATGTGGAACAAATGGCACTCGACCTCTGGAGTTTTCCTCCTAAAACTCATAACCCCAGGCTAATCCTGAGAAGAACGCCTGACCAGTCCCAACAGGGAGAGATTCTGCAAAATCCATGAGCAGTGCCCCTCAAAGCTGTCAAGGTCATCAAGACCAAGGAAAGGCTGCCGCTGGTGTGGCTCAGTGTTTGAGCATCGATCTGTGAACCAGGTCAGGGTTCAGTTCTCGGCCAGGGCACATGCGGGAATTGAGGGCTCGGTTCCCAGAAGGGTGTGTGCAGGAGGAAGCGAGTCAATGATCTCTTTCATCACTGGTGTTTCTATCCCTCTCTCTTCCTCTCTGAGATCAATAAAATAAGGAAAGTCTGAGCAACTGTA